GGCAGTTAGCTCCTTTTACCGAAGAGGCAGTGTGCACCCACGTGGGTACTAACTGAGCAGAGCTTCAGCTCTTTGGGTGCCGTTTCTGCGTGGAGCTAAGATGATTACACTCAGAGAGACCGCAAGGGACTGTGCAGCGTTAACAAACCCATAAACCTGCCCTCTGTTCCCGCTGCTGAGCCTGCTCCCCAGCCTGTCTGGGTCACTGCCCCTCCCTGCCGCGCACTGTTCTGTCTTGTGGCAGTCGGGGTCAGACTTGACCTACCCTCTGGCGGCTGGCGGTCACTGGCTGGTGTTGGGCACTGGCAACCCGCTTAGCCTGGACAGGCCCAGGCACACCTCCACTTCCTGCCAAAGCCAGGAGCGTACACAGTGGGATCAGTTACCTGCATCTTTAGCTTGATGAGGTTTTCTTCCCCTCCCCCCGGGCTCCTGCATGTAGCGTGTAGTGGTGGCAAGTTGGGCTAGGAGCCGCGTGCTTGGCAGCTCCAAACCACCAGAAGCTGGTCGGGAGAAAGACAGGGCTTTCGACTCCCATGAACAGTTAGAATCTTGGAAACCCACAGGGGGCTCCCTGAGTCAGCATTGAAGTGCACCCCGGAGGGGCAGTGGGCTAAGCCTTGGACTGCCCACAGAAAGGTCACCGGTTTGAACCTACCAGCTGCTTCAGGGAGAAAGATGAGGCTGGATGGCTTTTCCCTTAAAGCAGTGGTTCTCAACCTATGGGTCTCGACCCCTTTGGGGGTGGAACGACCCTATCACAGGGGTCACCCGATTCATCACAGTAGCAAAATGACAGTGATGAAGTAGCAACGAACATCATTTTATGGTTGGGGGTCCCCACAGCATGAGGAACTGTATGAAAGGGTCGCGGCATGAGGAAGATTAAGAACTCCTGCCTTATCGCTACAGTCTTGGAAACCCACAGGGGCCGTCCTGTCCTGTCCTGTCGGGTCCTCTAGGCTCACAGTGGACCTGACGGCAGAGAAATTGGTGTTTGGGGCTTAGGGATTCCACTCCAGTTCCGTTTGGGTGAAAGATAAATGGTCTGTGTTGTTGATTCAACTAAACCGCGGGAGAAAGACGAGGCTTTCTACTCCGGTAAAGAGTGACCGTCCCGGAAACCCACAGTAGTTCCACCCTGTCTTATGGAGTCACCGTGGACCAGCATTAACTCGATGGCAGTGCGTTTGGGTTTTTGGTTCATTCATTTACACACCAGGCCCGAGGGGCGCAGAAGGCCCTTGACGTCACCAATGCCAGGTAACAGGCCAGGCCTCAGCCAGAGAGCAGCAGTGCCAGCCAAAAGCAAAACAAACTCACTGCCATCGAGTCAATGCCAACTCATGGCGACCCTATGGGACGGGAGCCGTGCCCCTCAACCCCCAAACTCTGCCAGCGAGCCCATCGTGAGGAGTTACGGGTGGTTTCCAACTGCCAACCCTGCGGATCACAGGCCAGCAGGTGGGTAACCACTGTGGGTAGCCAGGGATCCATCCTTGTCCTCACATGAGGGGTGAGTTCATTAAATGTTCGGCTGCACGGCCCACACTGGTCATCCATATCCACACATCCCTTCGCAGATTCCCACTCCTGAATCCTCGGCGTTGGCAGTTCGAACCCATTGGCTGCTCGGTAGGGAAGATAAGGCTTTCCACTCCTCCAAATGTTGACTCCCTTGCAGTCCCATAGGGTCGATTCCTCTCTCTCCTATGGGGCTGCTGTGGGTTGGGCCTTACCCCAGGGCAGTGAGTTTGGGAAGCACCTCTCGGGTGGTTCACACCCACCGAGGGCAAAAGATGAGGGTCTATCTGCCCCCAGAAATCCTCAAAAGCAAGGGCTACCCTTCCATAGGCTTGTTGGGAGTCGGCATGACGCAACAGCAGTGAGTTTGGTTCTGATTAGGGTCGTTTCCCTGAGCTTCCTCTTGACCAGTGAGGACTCCCACCCGGAGCCCCCCTGTCCCCACCCGAGCCAGGATTCCCAAGCAGTTTGCATCGGCCTGGCCAGGCCTCCCGCCGGCCAGGCTGAGGGAAGGTGGGCAGAAAGGGTATCTATCCACTGTTCCAATCTGATTTTATTGAAAAGGAAACATACAAAAATCATGTACAAAAAAAATTAACCAAACATGTACAGAAAATTCATTCCGGTATCTACAGCAGTGCATATACAGTATTTTACAGACTGGGCCCCCCCTCCCCGCTCCCAGACGTCTTCCCTCCTCCAAGAACCCCCCTCCCTGACTCCCCATCCTCCCCGCCCAGCACCAAGGCTGGGGCGGCTTCCGCCAAGACCTCCCACCCCCCCGAAAGAATGCAGTGGTCACCCGTGCTCTCTAAACCTATGGATGGGGGGCAATGGGGTGTGTGGGGCGGGGGATAGAACCAGGGGGTGGTCGTGGGCAGAGCACAGGATTCATAGTCTGGGCCCCTCCTGGCCGGCCACCCCTCAACCCCCACCCCCCAGATGAAGGTGAGGCAGGTATGCCCTCCACCTGCTAATGGCTCAGGCTAAGTGGCCCGGCACTGGGCCAGGGTCCTCCAACATGCCCCCTCCTCTGGCTCCAGGAAGCTAGTGGTCACGTGTGGCTCATTTGTTCTTCACAGGCCCCCTCCCCAAAAGGAGGGGGGGAAGCACCAGGGGCCTGAGGCCAGACCCAAAGGGAAGGAGCACTGGGGGGAAGACACTCCACCCCCTCAGTGTCACCCCGATAGCTGGAACGGGCAGCCAGCCCCGGCAGCCTTTCCTGAGATGGTGGTGGGCGGCAGAGGCTGGTGGTGAGGTCCCCACCTCCCCGGGTCACCGCTTTCAGAAGCTGAGTCTGGCAGTTCTGCCCTTCCTGGCGTCAAGAGCGGCCAGGGACCCAGGAGTCCAGGTCTCCGTTAGGCCCTTCCCCCGCCGGACGAGGCCGGGGGTGCGCTGCAGGGCTGCTAGTCCAGTATGCTACATGGTGCAGAAAAAGTCCCCCGCACTGGCTGGGGCGTCAGGAGTGGAGGGAGCCTGCCCCCCGAAGTCCCTGATGGCCACCGAGCGGGCACAAGCACCTAATTGGGCTCCATCTCTGGGACAACACCGCCGCCGCCGCGGGCTCCGCCATGGCCCCTGGGTAAGGGCAGAAGTCCCAGGATAAGATTGTACAGGACCCTCCAGGGCGAGGGGCGATGCCGCTGCTGCTCTTCCTGTCTCTGGGGAGAGAAAGAAAGAGGGGGAAATTAGGCCACTATCCCCACAGCAAGGTCGGCGGTTCAAACCTACCAGTCTCTCCAGGGGATAAAGAAGAGGCTGGCTGCTCCCGAAAAGATGGAGCCTCAGAAGCTCTCTCAAGCAGCGGTTCTCCACCTTCCTCATGCCTCGACCCTTTCATACAATTCCTCGTGTAGTGGGGACCCCTCCAACCATGAAATTATTTCCGTTGCTACTTCATCACTGTCATTTTGCTACTGTGATGAATCAGGCGACCCCTGTGAAAGGGTCCTTTAACACCCCCCCCCAAAGGGGTCACGACCCACAGGTTGAGAACCGCTGCCCTAGAGGGTTGTGACGAGTGTGAATTGACTCAGTGGCGGTGGGGTTTCTGTGTCTGGCCTCCCCAGGGAAACTGGTGATGTAATAGCTTAAGCGTGGCACCGCGAGCCCACCCGCCACGTCACAGGGCAAAGACCAGGCAGTCTGTTTCCATCAAGATTTAGATCTGGGGAACCCCGTGGGGTGGGTCCTCCCCACTGAGTCACTATGAGTTGGCTTTGACGGGGTAGCAGGTTGGGGGTCGACCCCGAAGGGCCGTGAAGAAACCCTTGGCGATCTACTCCCAACAGATCAACCCTGGAAAACATGGTTCCACAAACACGCGGGGGCAGAAGACGAGGGTCCAGCCGAGAAGGCAATTGACTTCCACCCCTCCGCCCAAGTGGCCCTGTATCAGGCCGGACCGCTTGAGTCTCATCAGAGACCAGACCCCCAGGGGACACTCTTGGGCAAAGAGTTGCCCACCAACTCTTTCAAGCCAGGACGAGGCCTGTCAGATTGGATGAGTTCAGAAGCCTGCCGTCGTCACCCAGCTGAAGGTGCCACCTGGCACAACCTCCTAGACCCAACCCCTCACATATCTACCCTGAGGGACCCGTGGATCTCATGTGGGTGAGCCAAGAGGGACACGGACATGTGGCGGTCAACAGTCACCTTACTCATCCGTCCACGGGGAAATACGCAAGGGCACTAGGAGAACACAGACCCAGTGGAATGCTGCAGAACGGGGCATGTGCTTCATGTGCACACCTGGCCCACACAGACGGGTCAAAAAACAAAACTCCATTCCAACTCCCAGGGACCCTACGGGACGGAGCCGATCTGCCCCTGTGGGTTACTGAGGCTGTAACTCTTTCTGGGAGCAGGCAGCCTCATCTGTCTCCTGAGGAGCCTCTGGTGGGCTGGAACTGCTGACCCTGCAGGGATCGTCGTATACGGGTGGATGACAAAGGCATAAAACTGCGGGGCAGGCGAGTTTGGCTAGAGGGATACAAACCCTCTGATCATCTAAATGCCCTGTGGCATAGTGGTTACACATGGGGCTGCTCACCGCAAGGTCAGCAGTTTGAACCCACCAGCCACTCTGAGGTAGAAACGTGGGTCCAAATCGACTCGATGGCTCTCGGTTTGGTTTTTCTTCTTTTACTTTTAAATTTTGACAGGAATAGATTGCCAGGTCTTTCTCCCGTGGGACCTTGGGAGACTTTGCACTGCCCACCTTTATGCAAGTAGCCCACGTCTGAACTGAGTCAATTCCAGCTCGTGGTGACCATAGAACTCAAAACCAAACCCAAAAAATAACGAGTTCCCTGGCAATCAACTCAAACCAATGCCGACACTGTAATGACCCTGTAGTCTGGGGTACCGGCCCTTTTGAATTTCTGAGACTCTTTACCAGAGTAGAAAGCTCTGTTTTGCTCCCACACAGTGGCTACTGGTTTCGAACTACTGACCCTGGAGTTCATAGCCCCATGCCTAACCCACTACACTACCAGGGTTCCTTTGGGTAGAGACCTAGGTGTGGAACTGCTGGCTCTTGGGGGAACCCAGGAAAGAGCCCTGTTGGTGTAATGGGTTAGGTAGTGGGCTGCTAACCACAAGGCCAGTAGTTCGAAACCACCAGTGGATCCTTGGGAGAAAGAGGAGGCTTTTTACTCCCATATAGAATTACAGTCTCAGAAACCCACAGGGACACTCCTACCCTGTTCCATAGGGGCGCTAGGAGTCAGACCCGGTAGGCAGTGAGGCCGCCACCCTATGAAGTTAAAAGTACAACCTAGGCAGCATTGTCTCTGGCCTGATCAACCCATGAGGGGATTCAAATAATTCATGGAGAAATGCCAGTATCATTTCGTTCCATTTTCCCACGCACTTTCTGAAGCCCCCGTGCGCGCGCGCACGTGTTTCCTGGAAACGCTTTTATTTTAATCAAGGATCTCTACCCAGCATCTACATAAGCGTCATTTCTAGCCGTTTTATTTTTTGTTCCCACTTGCCACTCATCGTTTTAAAAACCTCTCCTCCATCGAGGACACCCTGTTAATTATTAACTGCGCACGCACCTGAAACGCTGAGCGAACCCCATCCTCAATCAAGTGCACTTCATTGTTGTGAAACAGAATCCACAACCCTGCATTTGCCAATTCCACATTGCCCCCCACCCCGCCCCCACCCGAATAAGCAGGCGGTGTGGGTG